TAATATTGTTTCCATCTCTTTCTTTTTTCTCAAATATTTTCAAGTCTTTTCGTTTTAACTGTTTTAAAACATTTTTTCCCCATGTTTCTTATAATAGTGGGCAAAAATATAAATAATAGTCATTCATTATTATTTAGTTTCTCTTAGTATCATAGGCTATTCCCACTTCCATTTCATTCTAAGATTTTTCTGAATCTGCCTTCCTGCAATGAATCTACTATTATATAGATTTCGGGTATTTTCTTGCTTTTTCTGTGATACATATGTTTTACATATGAACACCTTCACAGCCACCCTTCTGACACCTTGTATTACCTTTTATGGTTTATTTACTTTTATTTTTTTATTTGTTTTGGTCTATCAAAGACCATATAGGAGCATTCTATCCATTCTAGTAGACATTATAACTTATATCTGTTTGAATGATCAAGAGGTAAAAGGAAGCTTGTGTTCATGTTTTAGTTTCTTATGTTAAAGTTTTCTGCAATACTGAGAAAATACAGTTTGATACTCTTGATGTGCAGCTCTCTTCCCAAGTGACCTTGCTGCCTTTGACCAAATTATCTAGTCAGTCTTTTCTATAATCTCAGTGCCTTTTATAGGAAGCATGAAGAAGAAGAAAGAACAAATATGCTGGTATCTGAAAAGCTTGAATACATATCACACACAGTCATCTAGGTGTAACCCTTTTAATGTCATTTTTCTGTTCTAAAAAAAGAGGCAATACCAATCACTTGAGAATGTTACCTTTTTAAAGAACCAGCTTTTTTGTTGATTGTTTTTTGGTTGTTCATTTTATGTTCAATTAATTGCTGATTTTATTTTTTTATTTCTGCTAAGTAAAAATAACGGTTTATTAAAGTATGTTTTTATAAAATTAGGTTTAATTTGTGTTTCTGTTTCTAAATTTTTAAAATGGAAGCTTAAATAATTGATTTGAGACATTTCATATATTTTAATATAGCCATTTAAAAATAGTCTTGGGCTGCAAACCAAGAGTCCTTGTGTGTGTGTGTGTGTGTGTGTGTGTGTGTGTGTGTGTGTGTGTGTGTGTGAGAGAGAGAGAGAGAGAGAGAGAGAGAGAGAGAGAGAGAGAGAGAGAGACTGAGTTTCTGCCTCTGCTTCTCTCTGTCTTTCCCTCTCATCACTTATGTTGGGGGAAGCAAGATGCTATATTGTGAGAATTCTTACTGAGCACCCCAAATGATGTGGTTAGAATATGTGACCCTCTATTTAACAACTTGTAAAGAACTGAAGTCCTAATCTCAATAGCTTTAGCTTGCTAAAAGCCACATGAGTGAACCCTGAAGCAGATCCTTCAACCCCAGTTAAATATTGAGATTTCTGTAGCTCAGGTCACCTGCTTCAGTGCAAGCTCATCAAAAACCTTGAGATAGAAGTAGCAAGCTAAGCTTTTTCTGAAATTCTACCCATATGATTTATGAAATAATAAATGTTTTAATCTGTTACTTACTGGGGTAATTTGTTAAGAAGAAATAGGTAACTAATACAATATTCTGTCTTACAGTCTCTACCTTTAAATGGCCATGTTCATAATATTTAAATTTAATGGAATTATAATGTGGTTGTGTATAAACCTGCCATCTTGGTATTTTCTATTTGTTCTCCCTGCCTTTGTTCCCTTTTACTCCCCTTTCTATCTATCTTGTATGGATACATTTATCTACCCCATTGGCTATATTACTTACTCTAGGGTTTATAGCACAGGTTTTTAACTTACACATATAATGTAGAAACCTTATAATCCCATATTTCTATTTCCCCATCTTGTGACCTGGGCAATCGTTCTCATTCATTTTTTTCTGCAGTGCTATGAACTGCATAATATATTGTGACTCTTGTTTAAGGCAGTGAATTATCTTCAAGATTAAAAACTGAGGGAAAAGATATTTACTTTTAGCCATAAATTTACAAATTCCACCTCAATTTATTATTTTGGTAAATCTAATTTTTTTTTTCTTACCTTGTATATGTTTTCTTCTTTTGGAGAAATTTTGTATATTTCTTCATGAAAGCACTACTGGAAATGAATTTTTTAAACTTTTTCTTTGCTTGAAAGTGTCTTTATTTCACTTTTATTTTTGAGACATGTTTCACTGATTAGAACTGTAGGTTGCCAGAATTTTTTCAGTACTTAAACATGTTGATATATTGTACTTCGCTTTACATAATTTCTGACAGGAAGTTTGTCTGCTTTCTTTTTAAAATGGCATTTTTGGCATTAATTATATACTAAAGTGTTAACCTATTTAATGCATACAATTCAATTATGTTTAATACATTTACAGAAGTATGTAATCATCCCCTCAATCAATTTTAGATTTCCATGTCCCAAAAGAAACCCTGGAGCTGTCACCTCCCTGAGTCCTAGACAACTATGAATGTGCCTTCTGTATTTATAGATTTGCCTAGTCTTGATATTTCACACACATGGAATAATGTAGTAATTGATATTTGTGACTGGTTACTTAAACCTATTATAATATTTTCAAGATTTATCTATATGTAGCATGAATCAATACTTCATTACATTTTATTTATGGATGTGCCACAGAATTTATCAAGTAATTGTGTTTTTTTGTTTTGTTTTGTTTTGTTTTGACAGTTGTGTTGTTTCCACCTTTTAGAAGTTATGAATAATGTTTCTATAAACATCTGTGTACACGTGTTTGCATTGACATATGTTTTCATTTCTCTTACACATGCTAAAGTGTGTGATTGCAGAGTCAAATGAAAAAAATCTATTCTTAAATTTTTAGTTACTCTCAGACTGCTTTCTGCAGTATTTGCACCAGTTTACATCCCTACTAGCAGTGTATGAAAGTTCCAATTTCTTCTTACCCTCACCAACATTTGTTATTATCTGTTGTTTTCATTATAGCCCACTTAGTGTATAGGAAGTGGTAACTCATTGTGATATTGATTTGCATTTTCCTGATAGCTATTGAGGTTAAACACCTTTCCATGTGCTTGTTCAACATTGATATATCTTATTTATATATATCCAAATCCTTTATCTATTTTATAATTGATTTTTTTGATTATGAAGTTGTAAATATTCATTATGTATTTTCAACTACCATGGTTAAGAGGCTGCTGGTTTTCAAGTCTATTGCAGAGTTGAAGTGAGTCAGATGGTAATAGAGTAGTCAAAATATCACAGAGCTAGCTGAAATTAAGTGTATGTATTTTTTTCTTGAATAAATGCTCAGATTTTTGCAAGTCTGTGGCTAATTTGCAGAGATTTAAAAAATTACATTTTTGCCAGTTGTTTTGTTGTTGTTGCTTTTATGAAGGGGCAGATTTTTGGAGTTCTTTACTTCATTTCAGAAGTTCTGCCTACAATTCATCATGTATTCTTTCTTTTATTTATTTAACTTTTTGTACTAAAAATTGTACACACCTCTGGTTAATATTACTGTGCAACAAACTACCCTGAAACTTGAAGGCTTAAAACAAAATCCATTTTATTATGCTCCTTGGTTCTGTGGGTCACAAACCAACACAAAGCATATGAGTGAGAATAGGTTAGCTCTTTATCTGTCTGGACCCTCAAATTGAAAGACATGAAAACTGAGAGCTAATTCTGAGGGGCTAACTGCTTCTTCTTGCCCTTCATTGCAGAGTTTAATTTTTCTTAACATCCTTCAAGTGTTATTTCTGAGGATATTAGACTTTACCCCCTCCTCAATTTGAAGTCTTCTCTTGGGTGATTTCAACCTATTACTTCAGTTAATGGCTCCTCAAATCTATATTTGAAGCACATTTTTCTTTCATGAGTTTCACTCATTTATACAGCAGATAAGTTAAACTTAACATGTCTAAAATGATTCTTTCAAATCTGCACCTTTTGTGATATTTTCTAATGAATGTCTGCATTGTTCAATAATGTTTTTCAAGTAATAAAATTAATTCGGGAATTATCCTTTCTCTTACAACCTCTACCCCAAAGCACTAAACGTTTTTTCCATTTTCTCTAAATTATAATTTGGACCTTAAGTTTTATATTATCCAGTGCTATAGTTATAGGTGAAAGAAAGAAAGAAAGAAAGAAAGAAAGAAAGAAAGAAAGAAAGAAAGAAAGAAAGAAAGAAAGAAAGAAAGAAAGAAAGAGAAAGAAAAAAAAGAAAATACATTCAGTGGAGATTTTAAATTCTGAATATCAAGCACTTACTGAAAGGAAGCTTTATAATTCATAAGAAATTTTATATTAACATTAATTCAATATTATAATAGAATTAATGTGGAATGTGGAAAGCTGGAAACACAATGAGTTTGTTAAAGACAAAGCAAGAACAGAAGCTTCAAATACTGAATTATAAGATGAAGGAGTTAAGTAAAATTCTTAAGGACCAGAGGAGAAGACCCTTAGACTGGTTGCCTGTATTCAGAATTGATTATGATAAAAGTTCTGGATGATAGACTTAGAAATTACTTTACTTTTTCTTATTGGACATTTCTGTGTTATTCTGAATTTTCTTATTTTTTATTATAAGAAAATAATACCTTTAAAATGTTTTTAAACTTCCTCCTATTCTTATCACATTTTACTCCTTGTTCAATTTTTGTTTAATTCTTTCTCCATTATCAATGCTTTCTTACTTTTGTTAGGATGTATATGACTTTGTGTCCAAAACCCATGCACATTTTTACTAAAATCATGGAAAGGAGGCATAAACCATGATTAATGGTTGATAACCCAAATGATCATATGAAAATAATTTGCCTACTGTCAGGGCAAATAAACAGGCCAGAGATGAAGGGACATATTAAGGACAGAGGGTGTTCATAATGTAAGTGGAAGAGAACTGCCAATTTAGTTGCCATGTTATCATTGTATAATCCAAGAGGCCAGAAGACAACTATGGGAAAATAGATTTAAAAAAAGTAGAAAGGTCTTTATTAGTAGTAATTTTGTTACAAAGTAGTGTTGTGTGTTGTAATAGAATCAGAACTTACATGTGAGCTGTAGTAGTGGTTTATTTACTGGTTGGACTTTTATATTCCCGTACAACACAGCAGGGCTCATTGTTGCAGTAATTATATATGTATTCCCAGTCGTTGCATGAAGTCTTACAAGCACCACGAACAAGGTAACATTCTGTTTTTCTCACTATAATTTCTCTTGTTTTGTCTCTTGTTTTCTTCTGTGAAACTAAGAAAAAGTAGCCATGATCACAAATCCAAGTTTAATGTACTTGAATGGATAGATGAACTGACAAATGATAAATAGATAAGTAAATAAAGTTGTTTAAAGTATAGACTTAAACAATTTTGTTTCTGAAATCATGCCCATGCAACTGTATTAAAAATTACAGCCTGAGGACTGAAAGGTCCTGGTTTTGATTCCGGTCAAGGGCATGTACCCTGGTTGCGGGCACATCCCCAGTGGGGTGTGTGCAAGAGGCAGCTGGTTGGTGTTTCTCTCTCATCGACGTTTCTAACACTCTGTCCCTCTCAATTCCTCTGTGTAAAATCAATAAAATATATTTTAAAAAATTTAATTTTTATCCCCAGTAAATTGGTATACGTTCTTATTATTTAACAATATTTATTTTGTCACAGGCAATTTTTTTGGTTGTTTATTTTTTTTATTTTTTTTGTAAATAGAATATCCTTAAATATCTAATCTGTGCATACTTCCTCAAGAGAAAAAAGAATGTGGAAAAAATACTCTAAAGAGCCATCTACCTCCAATATACAAATTTCAGGACTAGTTAGTTATAGAAAGCTATAATCAATATCAGTTTATTATATTGTATTTAAAAATAGAAGGCAGTGGGAAAGACATAGGAGTCATAGTCTAATCAAAGAACACAGCAAACAAGTTTAATTATATATCTTAAGAGGACCCCACCCAATATACTATCAACTATCAGTTTCACTCATTTTTTTCTTCCATGCAAAATAGAGTGAACTTTATTATAAATTTATATGCAGTTTCCTAACAATCATTTGTTTTATTTTTCCAGAGCAAAGCAATTATAACAAAAAATTTGCCCTTCCCTCTTTTTCTATGTTAATAATCTTTACCTGATGGACCACAAGACACAGTGAAGACAAAGGTCAGGAAAATACCAAGTATCTTCATTGCTGATAAAGTTACTACAGTGAAGTTGAGGCAGAGCTCAAAATATCTGAAAGGTGTGCTATTCTTTGGTAAAAGAAAGACGAACTCTTGTTTTTATAGCCTTCTCAGGGTAATTACTATTCTGATTAATGTCATTTTTCAAGATTGAGCACAAACTCATGTAACTATTGTGAAATAGCAACAGGCAGGTTACAGGATTTGCTTCTGTTCTGACCTCTATGAGCCAAATGTGAACTTCTTTTCAATTTACAAGCAAAGAGTGGGGTTAAAGTCTTTCTAAATTCTTTAACTTAAAGCACACAATCAGCATCATTCTTGACCACATGTTTTTTTGTTTTTTTGTTTTAATTTCTCTATTGATTAAGGTATCATATATTTGTCCTCATCCCCCCATTTCCATCCCAAACCCCTCCCCACGCATTCTCCCACCTCCTCTGTTGTTCGTGACCACTGGTTAGGCTCATATGCATGCATACAACTTCTTTGGTTGATCTTTCCCCCTTATCCCTCTCCTCCCCTACCTTCCCTCTGAGGTTTGACTGTTTGGTCAATGCTTCCCTGTCTCCGGGTCTGTTTTTGTTCATATGTTTATGTTGTTCATTATTTCCCCTAGATAAGTGAGATCATGTGACACTAGAAATACACTTATAAGAACCGAAAACGAGACAAACAATAATGGTTATGGTGAGAGGCAAATGAATCAGTCTGTAGTGAGTTTCTTTCAAGGCCAACAGTTCTTTTGAGTCCCAATTTCAATGTCAAACAGTTCCTTATGTGTACATGTCAGCAATGATATTTCAGTTCTGGATGGTGGACAAATAGTGGTAATGCAGGTCAGACCCTCTCTGGTTTTGACCACATGTTTTTTTAAGCATATATTATGGGCCAGGCAGTGTCCTAAGCACTTTTTTTTATATATATATTATAGAGTTTAATTCTTATGACAATTTCTATAGCATAGACTTTTTTTTTCAGTTGAGGAATTTGTGGCATAAAGGAATTATATAATTGCTTTAAATCCTCTATGTAGTGATTGGTAGAGCTGGGATGGACTCTAATGTAATGTGATTCCAGAGTCCATTATGAGCTTAGCTGGTGCGGCTCATGATTGAGCATCGACTTATGAATCAAGAACTCAAGTTCGGTTCCCAATCAGGGCACATGCCAGGGTTGTAGGCTTGATCCCCAGGAAGGAGCATGCAGGAGACAGCCAATCGATGATTTTCTCTCATTGTTGATGTTTCTCTCTCTTCCTCTCTCAGAAATCAATGAAAATATATTTTAAAAAATTAAAAACATTTTTTAAAAAAATCCATTTTGAGACCAATTTTACCTACCTGTGACAGATTAATTGGTGCTTTCGGATATTTTGAAATTGATAAGAACCATAGAAATGTTTTAATGAAGATTAATTTCTGAGAAAACAAAAATTGCATAGATGTCAATGGCTGAATCTTCTGCAACAATTTTTACATCTTTCAGTTATGAAAAGCTCTTATGCAAACTCCAAGAGCTACTGATGGTTCATATATATATTTATATTTTTAGAAGCTGTGAGTCTGAGAGACTCAGCCTCTCCTTTATGCCTAATCTGTTGCATCTTAACAACACCTATTTAATACTTACTATGTGAAAGGCTCTTATGTAACTTACACATATTAATGCATTTAAACTTCATGAAAGCCCTAGGAAGTAAACATAATTTTGACTCCATTTCATATAGAAGGAAACTGACGCATAGAGATTGAAGTAACTTTCCTAAAGTCAACTAGCTAGCTGCTAAGTGGTAAAACTGGAATTGAACGTGGTCTATTGTCAGAGCTGGCATTCTTAGCCACTATTATTACTAAACTAGAGGCCCAGTGTGCACAAAATCAAGCACAAGTAGCTCGCTTCCACTTGCCTCAGCTGGCCACCCCACCCATTGCTGCTCTTAGCTCACACCCCGCCCCGCCTGCCCTGAGAGCCACTCATCGTTTTGTTGTGACATCATTACGGCATCACAACCTCAAGCCTTTTATGATATAGATACCCAAATCACCTAGAATGTCTTTCTTGAACAATAATGTTTGTAAGGAACAAAGACTAGGCCAGTAAGCTGATGCAGTGGTAGAGGGAGGTCAGGATGTGGCAGGGGTTTCTTATGACATGTGAAGTTGTATATTTTATTATATGTTTGATGGAAGCTATTTAAGAGTTTATGAATTCCCTCTGGCTCCTGGTAGAGCTGTTTGGAAGCAAATAGGAAGATCAGAGTCCTGGAGGGAAGTCATTTAAGAAACTACTACAGTGGTCTCTGAAGGGAGAAACAGTGACTTGGCTAAGGTGTCTCTCTGAGGTGCCTATCCATTGTTCTCCTTGATGTTTACTCTCCCCATGGTTTTGCTAGTTCTTACATTGAACCAGCCTAAACACCTACATCTCAGGTCTGACCCCAAATGAGGAGAGCCTGTTCCTGATGTTATCATTCATTGTTATGTATGTGTTCTTTCCTCCCTATATCCTGTCAGCCTTGGGTTGGACTCTCTGTGCTTTCTTAAGGAACAATCAGATAATATGCCTACTGTGCCATATGGGAGTTTACAGAAGAGTGTTTCTTTTAACTCATGAAGCATGTGCACTTTAGAAGACATTCATATCTCCCAATAATCTTGCCATCTAATGCCCAAAAATTAAACCAGAAACTCCCATAGAGGAAATTTCAGGTTTGTTGAGAGATGAATATAAATGACTGAGAGAGGAAATGAGAAGAAAAAAAGATGAAGAGGGTAGGAGGGAAAAGAACCACATTGATTAGTAGATGGATGGAGCTCTGATATGGTGCTAAAAACATTGTTTCTTGAACTCTAATGTGCATGTGAAGCACCTTAGGACCACTGTGGGGTCCAGGGCCCTGGAGTACATCACATTTACTGTATCAGTGTTACCCAATTGGTCTTCTCATCATGTCATGATATGAAGATGGGTATTGCCAACAATGTAGTGCTAACAATAGATCATAGGTGCAGTGTTGCAATGACAGTTATTCCTTCACCGATTACCAATGCATGATTTTGTTGTGGTGAAAGTTGGGATAAAGGACCAGAATTTAACATGGATTTTGGTTACACAATTGTGAGGAAAATAAAATTCTTCAGTTATTCTCTCTCTTCTAGTATCTAAGGTGAGTAACAGTTCAGAAGGGGAGAAAAATCAATTAGAAAAAGATACAGATCTCTCCAATGTTTTCCCCTATAATATGCAAAGGAAAACACTTAAAAATAATATGTATTAAGGAAGATATAATATCAGTAAAAATAAAGCAGCCATGTAAAAATCTATATGAATAAAAGGGTAACATGCTAATTAGACCGGGTCAACTAGATTTCTTCTGGTTGTCCAGTCCTCCTTCCAGACAAAGCCACTGTGGTGGTTAGGGGCAATCAGGCTGGCAGGAGGCAGTTAGGGGCGATCAGACCAGCAGGGGTGAGCAGTTAGGGGCGATCAGGCAGGCAGGCAGGTGAGAGGTATTGGGCCTAAACTAGCAGTCAGACATCCCCCAAGGGGTCCTGGATTGGAGAGGGTGCAGGCCGAACTGAGGGACACTCCCTCTTCCTTGCCCTGTGCACAAATTTCGTGCGCTGGGGCCTCTAGTAAAGATATAAAAAGGAAACAAATTACTGTTTCATCCAGAATTTGAAGGCTAGCAGTAATTTCTTCTAAGCTCTTTCATCTCTAAAAATTGATTTTTTTAATACAAAGAGAAAGAGAAAGAAAGAGGGGGAGAGAGAGAGAGAGAGAGAGAGAGAGAGAGAGAGAGAGAGAGAGAGAGAGAGAGAGAGACATTGATTTATTGTTCCACTTATTTATGCATTCATTGGTTGATTCTTTTATGTGTTCTGACTGGGGATCAAACCAGCAACCTTGATGTATGGGGAAAATTCTCTATAATCAACTGAGCTACCCAGGCAGGGCCCAAACTCTTTTAATCTTAATGTTCTTCATCACAAGTTTAGCCATGTTTTGCTAAATTGACCCTTGATTTTTTAATCCATAATACTATTACTATTTTCTTGGATTATACACAGTAATTTGGACAAGACTTTCAAGGAGAAATTCCAATAAATGTGTTATTTGCAGATATGCATGCCCAAAATAAGGAAAACACTAACATAACCATTCCCATGTTTAGTAAGAGTTTTTTCAAAGTAAGAAACAATGAAATTATATGTATGAAGTCCTCTAGACTTTCAGGGGAAAAAAGGTATATCCATATTTATACTTCATCTTTATGGTTCAGAGTTTAGTTTACTCCATTTTAGAAGATCACTGAACCTGTGGTTTATTGAGCAGGACTTCAGCTGAAAAACACTTTACCAACATAACTCAAAAAAAAAAGAAAGAAAAAGAAAAGAAAGACAACCTTCATACCATCATCCAAGGCTATTAAGTTTGTTCATAATACTTCCCTGGCCTTCTACTGGGCAATGGTTTCAAGCTTTTGATCTCTGAATCTCCGGTTTTCATTTTAAAAACTTTATTATCTTTGTTTTTTTAAACTACTGCCCCAGGTTGCACAGTTAATTGTGGAAATATAATAAAAACTATGTGGGTGAAAGTTATTGAACAATTTGTCTCTGGACCACAGACATTCTACTTTCAAACTCACAGCCCACGAGTCTTTCTCGTCTCCTGCTGAGTCCTGCTGTGGCTTCCGTGTTCTGCTTGATGGCCAGTATGTTCTCCTTTGAAGTGGCCAATGTTAACTGCCAGGAATTTACTTACAACTCTGCTGTTTGTTCTCTGCTCTGTTTTCCGTGTCTAGCTTAGTGATTTTGCACTTCTCATCTTCTCTTAGCGGGGGGTCACTTCTCCCCCACGCTTCTACTGCTGTCATTGCTACTCCAACTGAAGTCTGGGCTCCTCTTTCCAATTTAGTGACTCATTTTTCAAGGTTTCCAACTGGACTTTCAAAACTCTTAGCATCCTATACACTCTCAGTATGACAATTATGCTCCATG